CGTCGTCGCACTCGACTTGGTCCCCGTTGTCGTCGCCGCCGATGAGCGTCCACGGTGACAACAAACCCGAAAACCGACCGAGCCGACAGCGACTCCGCAGTCGATACGCCTCCAGCAACCCAACGAGCCCCAAGGATGCAGTAACGACACGGCAACCGACCGAACCGAACCGACCAACCGCAACCGACACCGACACGACCGCAGCGACCGAACCGCGGACACCCTAGAGAAACAACAAAACGCCGTAAGGATATTTTTTCGGAAGCCCGCGAGGACTTACTGCATCGGCGCTGGCGCGAGGAGCGCGCCAGGGGCTGCGCCCGAGGGGGCCCGCAACACCGATCCAAGACACCTGCGCGAACCTCGACAACTTTCTGCGGCCGTACGCTCACACATAGAGTGGGGACCCGTGGACCTGCCACGATCTCCCGACACACACAGAGCTCAGTGCCGATTGATCTGGCGACGGAGCGCGGCGGCTCTGCACGGGAGCGGGACCCGTCGCCGATCCACGCGCCTGGATCCACTTTTATGTACGCACCCTCGGCTCATGTCTGTGAGACCGCCTCTGCTCAGCACCCTCCGCCTGCCTGGGGCGCCACGAAGAGGAGGAAAGCAAGGATGGCAAGGAGCAAGTAGTGCCGAGCACGCGCAGGGGGGTGGGCCCCTCCCTGGACAGTCCTTTGGGGACAGAGTACTCGCCAACCACGTCGTGTACGTGTCGACCCACGTATGCTTTCGAGCAGTCGCGCCCCCCCGTCCCAGTACTCGCGCAAGAGCGTTCGAACGGTTTCGGCATGCGCGCGCGAAGGGCCCGTTGAGCAGAAGTTGATGAACACGTGGACAGCAAACCGATGGTTTTCTTAAGCATTCGCAACGGCGCGCGTAGACAATTTTCCAAATATTGATGATGCAACTCCATGTGTTGTTTTATATGGTTCCGGGGCGCTTGATTTTGAAATCCTTGCGACACGTCATGATCAGGAAAAGTTTCGGCATGCGCGCGCGACTTCGCGCGCGTGCGCATCTCGTCCGAAATATTGAAGGCGTTCTTGGAAACGGATGGTTTGTGATACACGAGCGTGTGCGCATTGTTGTTTTGCCAATAGTGGCGGGGGGGGGTCAATGCCTCCCTGGGGCGAACCGTGTCCAAATGGCAATACAACGAGGCGGACGGATAATCGAGGATCGTGGTGGTGGTAGATCATTCTGAAAACAGGGAATCTACGTTGTGCATTTCATCTTGCCGAACTGGAAACTGTCCACCCCGCTGTTCGCGAAATCGTCCCACCCGTCCACCCGCAATTTGGTTTGCAAAACCCATGCGGCGGCGATTGCGATGATTGCTTGGCGCCGGCTGGCGCGTCGCTGCGGCCGCGCTAGCCCGCGTGTGCTCGCGCGCAGAGCGGCCGGCTAGTCTGGCGCGACCGGCGCGGACGCGGTGGGGCTGACCGCAGAGGACTTCCCAGAACGTCTCGAAGGCTGCGCTGACGCGCGGGCGCTTCAGTGCGAATCAATCTCTCGGTTGGGCGCGGCATCATGGCAACGTCGACACCGGCAGACACGATGATGACAGTAGCGATGTTGGATTACGTCGATGACAATGACGACGGCAATGCCCATGACGGCACCGATGAAGATCTGATCGCGCCCATGACACAGATGGTGCCCACGTGCAGGCGATGAAGCTTGTGAGGGAATTTCGATAGGCGCGCGCGCGACCGACGGTCGCGAGTGGCCCGCATGACACGAATTGACAGGTATCGCTCCCCCCTCCAGCACGCGCGCGATGGCGTTCGAATGACTTCGACATGCGCGCGCGAGAGGCACGTTTGGCCGACTTTGATAAGCATGGTAGAACAAAACACAGCTCGTTTTCATAAGACTTCGCAAGAATGTGCATAAAGACAACATGTTGCTCAACATTGTTTCCCTACCCTCCTGTGTGCTGGGTTCTCGTTTTGATTAGGTCGCTGCTGTCGCACACCTCCTCCTCCTCCTCCTCCTCCCCCTCATCCCTTCTCTTGCCTCCTCCCGCCCTGGGTGGCTGCGAGTTGTGCAACGGTCGCCACTTTCGCGTTTTCCCTGGGAGGCGCGGCGGAGTAGCGGAAAACGCGCACCCAGGCGGAACCTCGCAGTTCCCTGGGCGGCCGCGAACTGTGCAACCGGCGCTCTACCTTCGTGGGTTTCTGGGACGCACGGCGGAGTGGTTGGCCGAGTACGGGCACCCAGGCGAGACCTCGCATCTCCCTGGGTGGCCGCGATCTGCGCAACTGGCGCCACTTCCGTGGGCTCCTGGGGCGCGCGGCAGAGCAGCGGAGCACGCGCACGGGATCGGGGCGCACCGCAGCCGCTCCAGGCCGGCCTTCCGCCACTTTGGACGCCCGAAATCACTTTGGACGCAGAACCACTTCGGACGGATCACGGACGGCTGTGGCCGGGCCAGGGTGGTTGCGATGTCGCTGGGAAGCTGTAGCATTGCTTTGACTATGGCAATGCTCTCAAGAGCGCTCCTGGATGCAGTGGATCCCCTTAGAGCAACCCCAGAGAATTTCGAGAAAGCAGTTGTGGTCGGGCCAGGCACCGAACGGATCACTACATCTACGTTGTGAAGTCTGCGTTATGCAATCTAAGTTGTGCGATACATGCGGTGCAATGTACGTGGTGTTATGTGGTACAATCCACGTGGTACACTTCATGTGGTGCGCAATTTTTACGCGGTGAATCGACGTGGTGCAATCCAAATTGTGCACTGTGTGTCGTGCACGGTGTAACATAAAGGCCCCGTCTGTGTGGTGCAATATATGCTTCGCATTCTATTTGTGCAATCTGCGTTGTGCAATCCATGCTGTGCAATATTAGTGATGCAATGTTGTGCAATCTAAATGGTGCAGTCCGTAAGGTGCAACCTGCGTGGTGGAATTTACGCGACACTATCTACTGGCGCAGCCTATGTGGTGCAACCTGGCAACGGCCCGGTTCCTCAACGCAAATACACTGTACGTATATGTATGTAACTGTATGTATTGATCCGCCACCGTGCCGCTTGGCACGGAGTGGGCATGTCCTCAGGTCCTTTGCCTAATGTCGTAAGCACTCTTAAGGAGTCTTTATTTCAGGGGCCCCGACCCCAATTTCTGAAATCTGCTCGCGATTGTCGTGTGCCCCCTGGGCTCTGGGAAGTCTTCTCGTGCCCCTAAGAGGCTCCCAAAACAGCCCGAGAGGGCCCCGAGTCGCCGTACAATCGCTTCAAGACGCACAAAGATGGGCGTAAGACGGCCAAAGAGGCCTCCAAGACGCCGAAAGAGGCCCCCCAAGAGGTCTCCCGAGAGGGCCACAAGAGGCTCAAATCATTGATTTGCCGTAGGTGTTTGAAGCGTTCTCGGCTTCTCTGCTTCTCCAACGCTCCAAGACGGCCCAAGAGGCCCCCAAGACCATCCCAAGAGGCCTCCAAGAGCGCGCCAAGACGGCCCAAGAGCACCCCAAGGCTGCCCAAGAGGCGCCCATGAGGACCCGGGCCCCACGACGGCCCCCAAAAAAGCCCCAAAAAGGGAACACGAGCCGATAATCCGAGCTTCTCCGCCCAAGGCTCCAAGGAGGCCCCAACAGGCGCCCAACAGGCGCCCAAGAGGCGCCCAAGAGGCCCTCAAGAGGCCCCAAAGAGACCCCCAAACTGCCCCCAAGAGGCTTCAAAGCTGCCTCCAAGAGGCCCCCGAGAGGCTTCCCACGAGAGCCCAACGAAGATCCAATAAACTTCATACCCACAGCCTAGGCACGGTGGCGGGATGGACCAAAGGCTATTACACACATGCATGTATATATATATATATATGTATATGTACACACTAGATTTGTACATGTATAGATATATATGTATACATAGATAATCTGTATTCACACACTGAGCCTTTACATACAAGCCTCTAACGGAATTAATGGGCCCCACAACCGCCAAATAGCTTGGCCTAAGGGCGCGTGCATGATTTCGTTTGGGGCCCAGGCCCTCCGAGAGAGCCCCGGACAACCCGCAAGAGGCCCGAGACGGCTCTGATGGGCCCAGGAGGTCGCACTCTCTCAAGCTGGCTCCCCATCTGCCCCAAGATGGCCTCGGAGATGGCCAACACGGCCCACGATGGCCACTACGACCGTCCAAGACAACGGCCCAGTAGAGATCCACCTGGACACTCAGGAGCCACCCAGGACGCAAGAATCACAACAGAACCGCTCTTGTTTTTGTACATCATTTGGCCATGCTCGAAATTTCGGGCTTCAACCGCCCAAAATGGCTCCACATACCTCAATCCCACCGGGACAGGCTACATGGGGCCCAAGAAAGCCAGCAGAGACGAGACAAGGAGACTAAGAGAGTGAGAGAAAGAGAGAAAGAGAGAGAGAGAGAGAGAGACAGCGCGAGAGAGAAGGAATGAGCAATACAGAGGAAGGACAGGCCAGGGCCCGATGCGAGGCCCAGCGCGCAGCCGCGGCCGATCCTCGTGTCGTCCTCCATCCTGTGGGGGTCAGGCGCGGGTAGCGAAGCGCGCCCCCTCTCTGTAATCAACCTCGTGGTGCGCGTGGGATGAAAAAAGTCAGGGTGCCCAACCCCACCGGTATCCGTAAGATAGTGACGAGGACGATGGCGACTTCCCCCAGACATAATGGATCAAGACAGCAACAGGAAAACAACGAAGAAGGAAAGACAGGGTACACTCGGGCACACGCAACCATGGATTACAGATCCGTGGACCTGGCGTATGGTCACCAGATCCAAGGGCCGGGGAAAGCACCCCCCGGGAGTATGCAGCCAGTGTCGTCTGACGCAGCGCATCGATTTTGTGTGGAAGCGGAGCCTCACCGATCCTGGCTGGGCCGATCTGGGCCCAGGACGAGCCTGGCCAGGATCGGTAAGGTGGTCAGTTGACGTTCCCCGGTCCTTCCACCTTGTCCTCATCCACCTCGCTGCTGCTGCTCCTCCTCCTCCTCCCCTCCTCCCCGAGCCGGAGGGGGGGTGTCCAGGAGCCGACCCTCCCCCCCCCTCCGACGCGATCCCTCACTCCTCCTCCTCCTCCTCCTCCTTTTCCTCCTCCTCCTCCTCCTCCTTCTATCATTCTTATCATTATTATTATTATCCTTCTGCTTCTTCTTCTTCTTCGCCCTCCTCTTCGTCCTCCTCTTCTTATTCTTCGCCCTCCTCCTCCTCCTCATCGTTCTCCTCCTCCTCCTCCTCCTCCTCCTCCTCCTCCTCCTCCCTAAACTTCTGGAGGCCCCCGCGGACCTCGCCCCCTGGGCCGACGCCGGGCGCCTCCTCCCGTGGCGGCCCTCCGCGCGCCGAGAGGAGGAGGGGGCCCGGCGCCGCCCCCCCCCCCCCCTGGGGACAGCCGCGCAGGCCTCGGCCCCCGCGCGCTGTGCGCGCCAGGCGAAGGGGGGGGGTCCCAGTGCAAGGTCGGGCGTGTCCTCCCACCGGGGTGGGGGTCCTGGACGAGAAAGCACAGATGGTCAGAAGATGGGCAGGGGGGGGTGCAGTGCCAAGGTCGGGCGTGTCCTCCCACAGGGGGGGGGTCCTGGACGAGAGATGACACATGGTCGAAAGATCGGCACCTGGTCCCCCGCGCGCTTCTCGCCATCGCTCGGACGCCCATTCCCTGTGCAGTTGTCGGTCTCGTGCGTGCTTTTTGCGCTGCTCGATGGTCCAGGAGGCTCCTCCAGGGTCCTCGCCGAGAAACAAATACACGCGTCCGAGCGATGTCGTGCGCTCTGCGCGCCAGGCGAGGGGGGGTCCAGTGTAAGGTCGGGCGTGTCCTCACACATGGGGGGGTCTTGGACGAGAGATAACAGACAGTCAGAAGATCGACGCATGGTCCCCATACGTTTTGAATATTCCTCCAGTATGAATAGTTGACTAGTTTGAATATTCCTCCTAACGTCTTTGTTTGACCAGTTTGGGATTCTCCTCCTGTAGGGGGACGTGCCCGACGCAAGGCCAGTGCGCCGACCAAGGAACAAAAGATACGAGCGGGCCTCCGACCGTACATGCTTAGGCTCTTTGCTCTTCTCGTATCCCGGGTCCCCTGCTGCTGCGCCTCCTCCTCCTCCTCCTCCTCCTACTCCTCCTCCTCCTCGTCCTCCTCGTCCTCCTCGTCCTCCTTCTCCTCTTCCTCCTCCTCCTCCTCATCCCTCCCTCCTCTGCTCTCGCTTTGCATGTTTGATTCGGCTATTTGCTGCGCTTAGGCCCTTCCCCTCCCCGATCCCCGGACCTCCCCGAACCCCCTCCTACGCCCTGGCCTTCTAAACTGGGCCAGACGCACTGCGGCATCGAGCGAGCTCAGACTTCCTGGGCCTGGCCCGACACCAACGGCGCCCAGGGAGGCCTCTCGCTCCCCCCCAACGCCCTCCTCCTCGCCCTCCCTCCCCGGCCCCTCGGAGCCTCCCTGGACCTCCTGAACTGCCGGAAGCGTCCGAAGAACATCCTCAGACACATCCGAATACTTCCTCCGACTCTCCACTCCTGATACAGTCGGGGCGTTGACCTAAGGAACCCTAAATAAGGAACGGCGCCCTTGTTTTTCATAAGTTGAAACTTTGATTCCCCATCGAAAGCCTAAGGAAAACCTCAGGCAAGTTGTAAAGCAATGAAGGAACACGGAGCCCCTCCCCAACGAGAAGAGTTACTTCTTCAACGCCCCGACTGTAGGGGGCAAGAAAATGTCGACACCGCTACTCCCCGGGCCCTGGGGTCAGTGCCGAACAGTATATTCAGAAGCGAGTCCAGCCGTGGCGACTCCCCCCCCCCTCTAGATGCCCAAAAAGCTGGGACGAGGGATCGATACCTTCTCTTCTACCCATCAATGGCCCATCAAGACTGCCTGCAATCACTAATGGCATTTGAGTTCAAAGGTCCTGGTGCTGTTGTTTGCCCCTCCCACACTCTCGGGGCCCTTCTCCTCCGTTCCTCCGTTTCCGCCTCCCTCCTCCTCCCCCCTCCCTCCTCTCCCTTCTCCCTCCCTCCTCCCCCTTCTCCCTCCTCCCCCTCCTCCCTCCTTCTCCCCCCTTTCTCCCCCTCCCTCCCCCTGTCCCTCTTCCGCCCTCTGTCCTCCCCCCTCCCTCCTCGTCTCTCCTGCCGCCGCCTCGCTCCACCCTCGCCCGCGCCCTGCCCCGCACGAGCAGCACGGCGCCCGCCCTTGTTGGCGTTCTCGCCCCCGTCCCCGCCGCTCTCCCCTCGAGCGTGCCCCTGGCCAGCGCTCGGACACGTCCATTCCCTGTGCGCTTTTCGGTTTCGTGAATGGTTTTGTTCCTTGGGAATGGTTGGACAGGGAATGGTTCAGAAAATGGGAATGGTTTTTCACCTGGAGCATCGTGAATGGTTTTCGTGAATGGTTTTGTTCTCAGGATGGTCCAGGATGCTCCTTCAATGATCCCCGCCGCGCAAAGGTGCACACCTCCGAGCGACACCAAGGCCGAGGCCAGGGGACGTCGCCCGCGACTGCTCGTTTTCGTCCCCCTCCTCTCCGCCCCCCGTTCCATCGCACCGAAGAGCCCCTCGGGAAACCGGGGCCCCGAGCGGCACGAGTCCTGGCCCTCGGGGGGTCTTCCCCAACCAACTCTTGCCATCGCTCGGACGTCCGTTCCCTGTGTTTTGTTGCGGTTTCGTGCGTGTTTTTTTTCGCCAAACGATCAAGTATGCTCCTCCATGGTCCTCGCCGGAAGAAAAATACACACGTCCGAGCCATGCCAAGAACTCTTCGCCCATGCCAAGAACTCGGCCCGGGGCCACTCTGCGGCCCCGGGCCGAGAGCCTGAGAACTGCGACCTGCGACCTGCTTGGAGCGCCGCGAGGGCGCTGCAGGGTGGGGCCGAAGCACCCAGAAAGCGACTACACAACACCACCGGAACGCGTCTGGGCAACAGAAACGTCAGGACCCGCTTCCCTCAAGACGAGAGGCCTCCTAGATGGGGTCGCAGTGAATGGAGTGGGAGAATCGCGCCGCATGGGCGACGCATGGGCGATGTACCGGCGATGCGTCGGCAACGTCGACGTAAAGAAGATCGGCCTCTCCGCATCGAGCCGCATCGCCGATGCATCGGCGATGCGGCGCGATCCTCCGACCCCATCTACTCTGACCCCATCTTTCGGCTAGGCGCAAGAGTGACCCTGGGTAAAAGTGACCTTTGGTGCGCGGTTTCTGGAGGGCGCGACGGGGCCAAACCAAAGCGCGCACGCCGCTGCTATCGCATCGCGCTCAGCGATCGGGGGGCCCCCGGTGATCCCGCATCAACGGTCACTACTCTTACAGATTATCGAATATTGGAGGCCTAGATTCCCTCAAGACTCATTCGAGAAGATCCGGGCACCGGCGAGACGCTCTGGGCGAGGCCCAACCGCTACTCGAAATCCCTCATTCATCGTCCCCTGGGTCCGGTTTTTCAAGGCGCCTTTTTCGTAACTTGGGGGTCTGGTTTATTAGGGCGTTTTCTTTACATCGGAGCTAAGGTGGGTCCCGTTATTCGTGCGCCTTGTGGCAATCACTGTCCAGCTAATGTTTCGAATGCGGCACTGTCGTGTTCGAGGGAGTTGCTGCGAATCACCACCATCATCGGCATCAGCGGCGGCGGCGATGGTAACGCCATGGCGATGTGAATCACGACGGCGACGGCGCGCTATTATTGCGACGGCGGCTTTCCCAAGTACAGATGTCTGCGTCTCAGCCCCCAACCTCGCATTACAACCCGTTGCCATCGCATCCGCCTCCCGCCCGACATCTTCAAAAACACAACTGCTGCTTGCTGAGGAGATCCGGAATGTTGAAGCGTCCTCTGGAAGTGGGGGGGGGTCCGGAGTATTAGGTCGCGTTTGCAGGGGCGATGCCGATGCATTCCCCCCTCCCCGGGCCTATTCCCCCCCCTTTCGGGCGTCGGCGGGACTGGGCTTAGTGGGACCCGGTTTAGTGATGTGTACGGGGGAATGCCCCCACGCCCCATGCCACGAAGCGGAACTGTCGTCACATGAAGAGGACACCAGCAATGGCAGACACGGCTCCATGATTCTGGCAAATTTGGGGGGGTGCGGGGCCTAATCCCAGCTCTCCTTACCACTGGTTATGGTTATACCTCGGCTACACGCAAAAATGACCTCCTGGGCCAGAGAGTGATCTGTGGCGCGCGACTCTGAGGGTGGGGCCCTACTGGGGACACCACCAGGCGCGCAAAGCGCTGCTGTCGCATCGCGTTCCGCGGTCGGGAGGCCCCAGTGGGCCCGCCACGAAGATCTTTCCGGCGAAAGACGGAGTAGGAGGAGGGGGATAGGGAAGGTGGAGGAGGAGGACGAGGAGGAGGAGGAGGAGGAAGAGGAGGAGGAGGAGGAAGAGGAGGAGGAGGCGGAGGAGGAGGGGGAGGAGGGGGAGGAGGAGGAGGGGGAGGAGGAGGAGGAGGAGGAGGAGGAGGAGGAAAAGGAGGAGGAGGAGGAGGAGGAGGAGGAGGAGGAGGAGGAGGAGGAGGAGGAGGAGAGTGAGAAGGA